TAATTTGAGTCACTGAAATTCACCAAAAAAAGGTTTATATGTGAATAACAAAGACTACTAAACAAAGATTCCCTTTGATGATTCATAAATGTTACCCTGATAAACAATAAATAGGAAATGTTGAATATTATTCTTAAGTGCTATTCTTTATCCCTTTTTAGTGCTTAACATATTTGCTTTAGGATGGCTACTGCCCTATGACACTGGTAGATCTTTATTTACCATAACTAAGCAGACTCAGCAGATTAGTCACTTTGAGTTTATGATACAAAAATGTATTACTGCCTCTGAACAATTCTACAGATACAGTAATACCTTGGTTTACGAGCATAATTCGTTCCGGAAGCATGCTTGTAATCCAAAGCGCTTGTATATCAAAGCGAATTTCCCCATAGGAAATAATGGAAATTCAGATGATTCGTTCCACATCCCAAAAATATTCATATAAAATGATTACAATACTGTACTGTAATATAATAACGTATAAAATATAAAGAAAAATAAACCAATTACCGGTACCTTTTGTGGCCGGTGTGAGAGGGACAAGAGAGAGGAGGATTATTGCGTAGGACGACTTTCACTATCACTAACGGAATCACTGCTATCTCTTGACTCAATGGAATCTTTTTCATTTCGTGAAACCTTAACAAGGAATCTATCCAATGTGACATTGCATTGTCGTTAAACAGACTCATCGCTCGCACTGCTACAGCCTTATTCAGGTGGTGCTTTTCTACAAAATGTTGCTCTTCTTGCAAGACATTTGCTTGTATATCAAAGCAAAATTTTTCAGAAATGTTTGCTTGTCTTGCAAAACGCTCTCAAACCAAGTTACTTGTAAACCAAGGTATTACTGTAAAAGATTTGTATCATAAACCAGAAGTGACCTAATGTACTATAAACAAAAAGCAGAAAATATGTTTAATTCTTACCTCCTCACATAGTCCCCTAACCATTGCCTTCTGTACGCAGAGCTCACTCCCCAGAATGTGTACCCCTTGCTAAACTTGGGCCAAGGCTGCAGAAAAGTAAAAAGTGATGAAAATTATTTTTGGGCTGTGCAGTAGAACGCCACCCCAACCCAAGTATACTAGATAAGTGCTCTGATCCAAACAGGTAACCGCAACTTTGTGATACTGCATATCTTTCTACCTCTATGCCTTTTACAGTAGAAATCATATCTGTTTTTGTTAAACTACAATTAAAAAAGTTTATCTAACCTTTTACCCTTTAAAAGAGCATTCAGATGTGTCATACTGTGACACACATGCACAATGCTCATGACATTGTATCGAAAAGACTGGGAAACTTGTTGGCCAGTCTAAAAGGTCCATGATGTAGGACAAAATGCCTGTGGTCATCATTTTGCACAAACTAACGATAGTTTGTTTTCAAAAATGATCGCAGCCAGCCAGCTGTCAAAAAGCCTAAATGTTGCAATGCCCATCCATCCTATATTTCATGGCTAATTGTTTAAAGTTACTTGCACTGCTGTAAAAACAGCTTGAATAGATGAATAGTTGAAAAACAGCTTGAATAATTTATGGTACGGAACATCAAAGTGATCAAAAGTGTGGAATACATACAATATGGTATTTCCAAATTACATCTGTATACCGCTCTGACAGTCCATTTATTGTACTTGTGAATACAACATTAGAGTTTAACCTACTGAATATAAAATAAAAAAGATCGCTAAAGATTGGGAGTGGAGAAGAAAGCAGGTGAGGCGAGTCCGTGCTCACCAACCTGTCATTAAATCCCTATGTGCTTTCTTGTTCCAATCCCCCAGTTCCTCCTGCCTAAAAGTCAGAAAAGTCCCACAGACATCTGTAAAACCAGCACTTGCTACACAGGAAGATAGAGTAATAGGTATCACCACATCAGTCCCCGCTCATCCCTATCCCAGTTCAATGAAGCACTTTTATGTTCAGGCCAGCTGTCCTTTTCATCACGCCTTGCTATAAAACTTGTATTCTAATGGCTATTTCACATACACACGTTAAATTATTCTAAAGCATTGTTCATGCATTGTGCACTTCTCGTGCATTTCCATTCACCTCTATGGCATATGTGATTTTGTCAAAATGTAGACTGACTGTTAGAAAAATGCACTTGAAAATACAGATATGAATATTGCCATTGATTATATCAGCATTGATCTCATAATACATTTTGTAGGCAGTTTTATACATTTAACTGCACAAGAAAAGTGTGCATGTGTGTGTACACACACACACACAACTACATCTGGATGAAAACTGAATATTCAGCCAGTAGAGCTGTATTCACTGTATGTGAAAAGAGCAGTAACCCATGTCAGCCAAATTGCAGTAAAATGAAAAAAAAAAAATGATAAAAACTGATTTTAGCGTTTTCTTATCACAGCTTGGAAATATTTTGACTGTAACAGCTTTCAATATTTGTTTTACTGAAATCAATTAAGGGGTTATTGGCTATTTCTGAATTTACAAAATACACTCCAATATGGGATAATGGGGTACTATATGAGGTAAACAAACTCCAAGGATTTGGAATGTGGAAGAAAATGGGGATTGAGACATTGGCGTAAATATATGATCAAGGTGTCTTGTGCTCTTTCCAACAACTACAAGCAAGTTATTTACTACCAAATGCTCAATTCTATAAATATTTACAATTAAGGCATGTGCTCACGGGACATCCAGGTGTACGTGAGGTTTGTATTAATGTAGGTATGGTTATAGATAACCATTTCAGTGCAACTGTGACGAGAGGGTTGATTTACAAAATGTATTTAGATTTATTGCCTGGGGTTCTGAATAAATCTCCTATGAAATGTAAAGTGGGTTGGGAACTGGATCTGGGGCCACTAGAAGATACCCTTTGGAGGGAGGCGCTGCTTTCAATCCAATTAGTTTCACCGTCTGTATTAGTTTCACACAGCTCTATATTGTACATAGAACATACCGGACCTCTGAATTCCTACATAGGATAGGACTCAGGGAAGATTCTAAATGCCCAAAGTGTGGATTTGAACCAGGTTCATTGATACATCTGCTGTGAAGATGCCCGAAGTTGAAAAGATATTGGCAGGAAATAGTGGACATAATAAATATAGCTTTTGGAGTTCATATTTCTAATAATCCAATGATATGTATTCTGGGTATTTTTGGATCCGCTATGGATAAATATGGTAAAATGTGGGATAAGTGGATTGAATATAGTAAAGGAATTTGGTTATAATGTCTGCCTTATCTGCTATTTTGGTATCTTGTGGAGTAATGTGTTTTAGGTAATATGGTATGATGAGATTTGAAAAAAAATGTTTTTTGTCATTGTATTGGTGTTTGTTTTTGTATCAATGTTTTAAATATGTATTTATGGATGTAAAAGTGTTTATTATGTATTGTACTATTAAAATAAAAGTATTTAAAAAAAAAAAAGTATTTGTTTTACATAAATATTTACATATCTATAGGTATGTATGTTATACATAAATATACACTCAGCAACCGTGTGTGTGTGTGTGTGCGCGTGTCATGAATCTGCAGGCAGCAGGATACACAGCCCTGTTTAGCACCAAGCTGAACTTCCTTTGGCTTTAACAGCTGAAGGTTCTGACAATTACCTTAAAATGGGCTCTGTAGCATTCCCAACTACCAAATGGTTAATGAGCTGATGCTCCATTGTGTGCATGTTACCTTTGAGTTAATTGCATGTTTATTACCTGCTACACCACGTCTACCATTTTGGTGGCCTATCGCATCAGAGTATGTCATCAACTGTCCAAAGCTGATTTGGCACAAGTCAACTTTTTGGTGACTTGGCCATGGCCAGGATTGTAAAAGCTCATATCCCAGGGATGTTGTTTTCCTGCATTTGACGGCATCTGGGTCCCTAGCGGGTGGTGGCTGGTTAGTAAAGGATCAGCAGACGTTGCAGAGCATAATGGCAATCTAATGAGCTGCCACACTGTGCTCAGCCAACTGATGGTACAGGGCTGTGTGGAGTCCAGCATAGCAGCAGGCAGAGGAAGTGGTGCCCCATACCCAGAACAGACTGCCTCATACCCAGTGCAGCAACTGCAGATTTCTGGGGTAGATTTCAGAGGCAGGTTGCTGTTGCAGGTGTGGATGTTTTGAGATGGGTACGGTTTGCCACCTTGCCGGGAAGTGCACTGTGTATCTTTCTGCATATACTGCCTGGGGACCAGAAACTGGCACAGTGTTACATGTACCTCTGTTTCTGTTGCCCTAGTGGCAAAACGGTAGTATGATAATCATTATATTACACGTGCCTATGTATATACATTTTTCCCTCTTGTATGCGTTTCAAAAACTCCCTGCCAGGTCGCTAAAAAAAATTATAAATCTGCCACTCCCTGTAAGACATAAGAAGTAGTATACTCACATTTCCAGTGGCCAGTTACTCCTACATCCTCTTCATTCCAGCACTGCAATTTCCACCAGTGTCTTTAACAATAGATGCTTCAGGGAGCGTCAGATACATGTGTCTCCCACCATGAGTTCTACTTCCATCCCCTTACCCCCACCTCACTGATGCGTCCTGTAGTGGCATAGAGGTCAGGAAGGAACAATGGCACACTCACAGAAGTTTCAAATGCTGAAGACACTGACAGAGGCAGAGGTAGAATACACAAGCTGCTGGAGAGGGGAGTATACTGCCTCTTCTCTTACAGTAAGATGTATTTTTTATTTTTTTTAACATAATACCCATAAAAATGTGGACATAACAAAATGCATACATTACTGACATGAATACACATATGTATTTTAACACATTCAAAACATAACTAAAATGAGGCTTTACACATAAATACAAATAAACATAAGTACACAGGATGGTACTTCAATGAAGTGACCAAATCATAGCCCACAGGATAAGTAACTGTCAATAAATCAGAGGTAGGGCAACATTCACAGGGATTCTGCTCCAAAAAAATAGAGCAGAGACTTGGAACTAAAAAAATGTAACCATGTTAAATACAGTATCCTGGCTTGTATCATAACAGTCAAGAAAAGCCTGCAATACAGTGTTCTATAACATTACGCATGCCCCACTAGTCTTGATTGAATTAAAGTGGCTATACTTTATTGGTCGTGTACAGTAAGTCTTTTTGCAGGTTGCATCCAAGGATTATGTACATGTTATAGTTGAAGCAACAAGTATTTCAGGCTGGCCAGATAGTGGAACAATACTAAAAACCAAACAATATTAAGTGCTGGTTCGTGGTGTCCGACAACCACCAACTCGCTGGCCACGATGTATCTTCATGTGTTTAGACAAATGGTCACTGCGGGCAAACTTCTTATCACACACTGTACACTGATATGGCTTCACACCAGAGTGGGACCTCTTGTGTCTTGAAAGCTCATCAGAACGAGAGAATCTGCAGAAAGTGCAACAGTGATCAAATGGTAATCAAACCAACATCCTACAAAAGAACTAACTCTTAATGATGGACATTTCAAACATTGATCTTTAAGCACAAAACAGTATTCCTGGACAATCGAAACAATGGCCAAAAATAATGGCACCTCTGCATTTCTGTCAGATAATGCATCACTTTGCACAGAAAATTGTTGCAATTACAAATGTTTAGGCATTCTCATGTTTATTTATTTTGTTTGTATTGGTATGACAAAAAAGTGGAGAAAAAAAAATAGCCAAAATCTGACGCATTCTCCAAAAATGGACTGGACAAAATTATTGGCACCCTCAATTAATATTTGGTAGCACAGCCCTTGAAAAAATAGCTGAAATCAGTTGCTTCCAGTAAACAACGAGTTTTATACACATCTCTACAGGAATTTTTAACCACTCTTCTTTCGCCAACTGGTCCAGGTCTCTCAGATTGGAAGTGTTCCTTTTCCCAACTGCTGTGTTGAGATCTCTCCACAGGTGCTCTATGATGTGTGCTTTGGGTCATTATCCTGCTGTAAGACCCATGACCTCTGACGGAGACCCAACTTTCTGACACTAGGCCCTACATTGCATCCCAGAATTCTTTGGTAGGCTTCAGATTGTATAATGCCTTGCACACAGTCAAGCCATCCAGTGCCTGAAGCAGCAAAGCAACCCCAAAACCATTAGTGAACCTCCACCATGTTTGACTGAAGGCACTGTATTTTTTTCATTAAAGGAGAACTATGAGGCGAGTGAAAATCACTCAGCCTCATAGTTCTAGGCTCAATAGATCGGGAAGGGAGCTAACACATACCGGCGCTCGCTCACTTCTCGATCTATCCCTGCAGAGAGCAGTGACTGTCACTCATGGCTCCCTGCAGGGATTCCCCTCCTCCCCTGTCGGATCCCCCAGCGTTGATTGGCTGAACGGACGGGGGAGGGTACAGCCGGCTCTGCCTATAGATAGGCAGAGCCAGCTGTCAATCACGCAGCTGGGTGGATCTCGACAGTAATGTCGGGATACGTCCCGGCTGTGGCGTCTCAGTATACTGCGAGCTGTAGCTTGCCATATACTGAACTTTGGGTGACGTTACCCTTAGGAGAACTATGGGGAAAAGCCCTGAACCCATAGTTCTCCTTTTAAAGGCCTTATTTCTTTTTCTGAAAACAGTAGAATGACGGGCTTTACCAAAAAAGCTCTAATTTTGTTTCGTCTGTCCACAGCACATTCTGCTAAAAGGATTATGGCTTCCTCAGGTTGGTTTTGGCAATCTGGCTTTTTCATGTTTCTGTGTCAGCAGTGGGGTCCTCCTGGGTCTCCTACCATAGCGTCCCTTTTCATTCAGAAGGCAACATATAGTGTGAGCTGACACAGTTGTACCCTGTGCCTGAAGGTCAGCTTAAATTTGTCTGGAAGTTGATCCTTCGTTGCAATATTTGATCAATTGTTCTCTTTTGTCCATGTGCCGCCCCAATGGGGCATAGAAGTTTATATAGATAAGGATTTATATAGTTATTTCTTTAAATCATTTTTCCTATAGCTATTTCTATTGTTAGTCCTTATGCTGCCATCTAGTGACCCTTTGTGGTAATACAAATGTTTTCTATATTTCTTTCCCTGATCTATGACACATTTCCTTTGTATGTAATGCCCCACCCTTCTTCCTGGTCAGTACTTCCTGTGTCATGGATGCAGCTACAGGCCACATGTAACAAGGAACACATGTATTCTACATAGTACGCTACAAAGTTATCATCTTTTGACCGCATAATACTTCAACTATTCATCTGTTGTTTCCTGTCATCTGCTGTAACCTGATGTTCAGAATAAAGCAACCCTTGTGGATGAAACGGTATTGGTGAGTTCAGCTATCTGACAATGATTGTCCTCAGTGATTGAATCTGCTTATACAGGCCAGGCATAGAGGTCTAAGCAAGGGATAAGTCACTAGCACAACAATCAGAGTCAGAATAGTCCACGTCCAGGAAGATTAGCTAAAGTGCCATGGGCTGTAAACTTCTTGACAATGTTGCGCACAGTGGACAAAGGAATATTAAGATCTCTGGAGATGGACTTGTAACCCTGAGATTGTCCATGCTTTTCCACAAAAACTTGGAATGCAATTATTTCTTGCAATTTGGAGAAGGTGCCAATCATTTTGTCCAGTCCCTTTTTGGAGTTTTGCGTGGAATGTGTCAGATTTGGCTTTTTTTTCTCCACCTTTTAGTGTCATACCAATACAAACAAAAAAAATAAACATGAGAATGCCTAAACATTTGGAATTGCAACAATTTTCTGCCTGAAGTGGTGCATTATCTGACAGAAATGCAGAGGTGCCAATATTTTTGGCCATGACTGAGATGTATACACACACACACACACACACACACATACATACAGTATGTGTGTGTGTGTGTGTGTGTGTTATTAGTTAAAGTGTTAATAGTTTATTTTTATCAATGAACCGAAGAGAAATCAAAATAAATCAATATTTTGCGTGGCCACCCTTTAGAGCAGCATCAATTCTTCTAGCTACACTTGCACACAGTTTTTGAAGGAACTCGGCAGGTAGGTTGTTCCAAACATCTTGGAGAACTAACCAAAGGTCTTCTGTGGATGTAGGCTGCCTCAAAGCCTTCTGTATCTTCATGTAATCCCAGACAGACTCAATGATGTTGGCATCAGGGCTCTGTGGGGGCCAAACCATAACTTCCAGGATTCCTTGTTCTTCTTTACACTGAAGATAGTTCTTTAAGACATTGGCTGTATGTTTGGGGTTGTTGTCCTGCTGCAGAATAAATTTGGGGCCAATCACACTCCTCCCTGATGGTATGGCATAATAGGCAAGTATCTGCTTGCATTTCTCAGCATTGAGGACACCATTGATCCTGACCAAATCTCCAACTCCTTTAGCAGAAATACAGCCCCAGACTTGCAAGGAGCCTCCACCATGCTTTACTGTTGCTGCAGACATTCAGTATTGTACCACTCTCCAGCCCTTCGGTTAACAAACTGCCTCCTGGTACAGCCAAATATTTCATATTTTGACTCATCCGTCCAGAACACCCCTAGCTATTTTTGGCAAAGGGAGGTCACACCAAATATTGATTTGATTTTGATTTCTCTTCTGCTCATTTACTTTCCAATGTGTTAATTGATAAAAATAAACTATTAACACTTATTTCTGAAAGCATTTTTTTCACACCTGCCTAAAAAATTTGCACGGTACTGTATGTATGTCTGTCTGCTGTCTTTCCACTTAAGATGCACAACTGATAAATGTCTGAGGTTTGGTGCAACATGTTTCACAGCTCAAGCTTCATTATATAAAAAATGACCCAAACTAAGATTACGTGAAATCTTTTGAGGCATCAAATTAAAAGGAGCAGTTACCATTATGAATTGTGACATTTGTATGAATTTGTTGATAATTTGATTATAAATAACCAAAAATGCATGCATATATAGGATTGAATTATTGTATTACATTTTAATAATATGTATTACATGATATTGAAGATTTTGATACATATCTAATATATGGGGTTCAATTAAAAGCAAACTTTGTAGTAGAACCAGTTTTAATTTCTTTTTCTTCTTCTGCATTTTAGCGGGCAGATTGTGACACATTGATGTAAGCGGGCCAACGCACAAGTGTTTCCCACTGAGTCTGTGGAGACAAAATGCGCTGTAATCTGCCAAAAAGAAGCTCATTCATTTTTTCCCCAGCAAAAGGTATTTTACAGCTTGCAACCAAACGCTGAGGTGTGAACGGGGCCATAAGAATGAATGGGATTTCTTGTTTTGCGCATTTTATTAAGCATTTTTATGCGCAACACAACGCCTAGGTGTGAATGGGGCCTAAAATTTAGATTTTACCTTAACTTTCTTTCTTAGTGACAAACGTCACCAGTACAAATAGAGGGGTGAATCTCCCCAAAGACCCCAAAAGTATTTGTTTTAACCTTTCCCCATTCTATCAAAAACTAAAAAATAAGTTGTCCTAGAGATAAAGTAACACTGAACGAAAAAAGTATTTCCCTATACCCAGTAACCGGCATGGATAGAGGAATCTGCCGCTGTAGCTGTCAGAATACATGAGCAGTGACTGTAGATGATTGGCTACAGTCACTGTTTAGCCGAAAGAACCCAATTAATGAATCGACTTTTGTTGAACTGGCAGAGCCACACACTGAGAATTGTGGCCAAAATTCTAACAGTGTATGGTCAGCCCTATTAGCCTCCTGGCTATAGGCTTCAAACTTTTCTCTTCAGCCCAGGCACACTGCTAGGTTTCCCGAGGAGCCAGAGGGCTAAGTTTTCTGTTGTGTTTGCTCTATCTCTGCAAGCGTTAGTAAGAAAAGAGTCATAGTGTAAAAGGATACTAACAATTATATTTTAGGATTGGGAGATCCTAAAATCTCCTCCACTCCTCACGATCTTGAACCTCCCTGCACCAGTCCAGAACTCCGATGAGCCTAGGACTGGGAGGTAAGGGATAGGAGTGTGCATTAGGCCACAGCAGACATGTAGAAATGATTGGGTGGCTATACAACCTCCCAATCATTTCTACATTAAAACGAACAAGCTGCAACATAAAAAGAAAGGCCTGAAGCTGCGTAATACAGCCACGGCAGTAAGTCCTTCATTTGATCGGTTACTGATTTAATGTTCTATTTCCCCCACAGCATTGTGCAGCTCCCTTCTGGTGATCAGATAAATCTTCTAAGGGTGCTTCAGCTCGAATATAGAACTTTAACATCCTCCTGGCATGGCAATCCTGTGTTCACAGTGGGGGTTGGGAAGAGGTTAATTTTCAGCTGTGTCCTTTTGAAATGGATTAGTTAGGGTCACTTTGAAGCGAACAATAATATAAACTTAGATTACGTACTGTGGTCTTCATTGCCAAATTTTATCAGACCTTTATATTTGATATGGGTATTACTTTTACTACAATGATTACCCAGACAAGCTCCATACGGTCACAATCCTAAATATATCCATTAAGAACTGACCTAAACCTGTTTCATACAATCTGATTAAACCCAGCATTTCTGCGTTTTTAATATATTCGAAGCATACTGTAGCCTTCCAAATTAATTTTCTTTATCATGATTTTTACTGAGCCAGGCTACCAAAATATAATCTTTGTCACTTAAAGCCGAACCGCAGGGAAATGAAGTGTTTCCCCTTGCAGTGGGGCTACCCCCACACTGCAAGGGTTAACTGCTTGTTTCTGCCTAGGGGGATGTGAAAAAGCTGTTTTACTTACCTGATCCCTGCTGCCATTGTAGACCCATCCCTACATGCTCTTCTTCTCTTTACTTTGGCAGTCTAAAGACTGCTGATATCATCCAGTACAATGCAGGCAGCCCCACTAAAAGACAAAACTTTAAATTTCCCTGGAGTTGGGCTTTAACAATTCACGTATAGCATTGCATTAAATATCATTTGATTTGCAACAAAACAGCATATATTTAAAATAAAAATATATTAAAAAAAGGACTGCTTCCCTTACCTCCAACCACACTCTGGCCAAGTGCAGACATAAGGTTTTTCCCCCGTGTGCCGTCGAAAGTGCGCCTTAAGGTGTGAACTTTTGGTGTACATTTTGTTACAGCCAGGGTGACTACACTTATGAACCCTGATTACAGCTGGTGTTCCCTTTTGGATCTTCTGCTGTCCTTCGCTCACAAATACACCTCCTATAGTCAAGGGTCTGACTGCCACTGGCAAGGGGGCAATTCTAACATACTTTTGGTCCCCAGGTGAAGCAGGCCCTGGGATTGGGGCCAATGACAGGCTTTGGCCTTGTACACTGATTACAAGCTGTGTAAGGCGCACACCACCTGTAGGGCTCTGTGCCAAAGAAGCAGCACCAGGCACAGACACAGGCTGGATTTGAAGTAGAACAGGAATACTGCCTGTTGCAGAAGGTGAACTGGCGGAAGCATCTGGTGTCTCTGGAGTTGGCACATCCTCAGATGGCTGAGCTGGGCCTGTAGTTTGAGTCACATGCTCATTAGTCATGCAGCCCTGCAGCCACGTGCCAGGAATGGGCTGCTTTTCAGCCAGTTCTTCCCTAATTAGATCCATGTTTTCCTTTAAAAACTCCTCAATTTCCTCAAGTGTAGGAGAGAAGTCCCCAGAAATCTGAGCACAAAAGTCTGGGAGTTTTAATTGGGTCAGTGAAGTTGTTTCCTTTGAATCCTCTACTGCTTTCATAAACTGGGACAAAAGAATTCCTTCAACCTCTTTAAGGCCACCTCTATCTTCACCATTCTCTTCTATGGTCACAGTTGCATTATTAAACTGTTCTCCCAAAGGCAGGGAGGGGCTGGCATTGTTTTCAAGAAGAGTGAGCAACGATACCTCTCCAGAATGAGGTACTGCCATGTTGTGTTCACAAGGGGAAGCAGCACTGGCAAGAAGATCAGAAGCAGAAAGAGGCTCACTGCAATTTAAAGAAACCATTTTGTTTTCCGTGCGAGGATCCCTTTACCCCTACATATGATGAGGTAGAGGAGCAGCTGAATAAATATGGAATCGGCCTTATAGAACATTTCAGTGATCTGTAAAGAGAAAATAACTAAATCAGATTACAGAATGTGTAGCATTTAATAAAGAAAGAAACTGCATATATAATCCCTTACCAGACTAGATAATGCAGGGTCAATACAAAAAGCAAGCAATTAACTTGGAGTCTTAAAGTGTACATCAAGGAATAATGGAAAAAAAATATGGAGTAAATCTTTGCAATACATACACATTTCTCCGTGTTTTGTCCCTTTACAAACCTTGCAAATTCAGAACAATCTGCCAGAAATACACTCAGTTCTAACTTCAGATTGTGGAATGACGCATTACTTTTTTGAAGTGAAATTGCAAGACCTGTTGTCAGCCCTGCCCAGTTGCCTGCTGTTAAACTACAAACCCACCCATTATCAAAAAGAAAAGACCAATGAAAAGATAGGTTAGTGAGGTTGAAAAAGACTGAAGAGAGCTAAGGGAAGGTAAAGATTTAAAGCAATGGATATAGAATAGGCTGAAACTGTCAGAGCCCTTCAAATGTTGAAGTGATACACAGAGACGGTATTTTGTTAACAAAGAAATGGCAAGCCTTAATAAAAAGATAGGCTTTGATTTGCTAACATTGGTTTTTAGAAGGAGGCTTTGGGTTTTGGAAAACCGTTTAATATGGTCCCTGAATGTGGAAATATATGCATTAGAGATACAATGCATGGATGAAATGACTGGTAGGAAGACTAGTAGCAGTTGTAAACAGAACATATTCAAAGTGGACTAAACTTAGCAGAACCATGGGCAAGAGTTTATTTTCAGTCTTATTGTGGTATCCTAACAGATTCAACAGAAAGCAACACAATCTTTCTTGACGGTGTCACAAAAATATGAATAATTATTCAACCTCAACAGGTCACTGGCATTACAGATGACTACAACACATTGCCATGCAGATGAAAAATGAATGTTGGTAAGAGTATGGACCTAGGTTAGGGATGCACCAATACTGATACTAGTATCGGTGCTGATACCGAGTATTTGGGCGAGTACTAGTACTCACCCAAATACTCAAGATACCAGAACTTCCAGTCAGAGGCAGTGCCGTAGGGGGAACATGAAGCCAGCTTCCTGTGCGATCAGGAAGCTGGGCAGCGGAGATTGACCCACCTCCCTGATTGGCCAGGAAGCCGGCTCCATGCTGATTGTCTGGGAAGCCGGCATAAGGTACCATCTCGACAGGAGTTTATAATTCATCTCCTCTATATAGGAAGATATTGAAGTTTCACAAGCCATCTGTAAAACCCTTGATCTATGTTGTTCTGGTAAGGGGACCTCCAGATCCCCCTCCCAATGCAACATGAACCCTAGAACGAATGGGGAACAAATTTGGGTCAGCATTTGAACCAACAATGATATACTTCTCTTGGGACATGATGCCCTTGATAATAACACCTCTAATGGGTTTAGCTCATCTATTGTTCTAATTGTTTTGGTAGCAATTGCCAAAAGTGAGTTAATTGATAATAACGCCACCTATCCAACATAGATGGAGATGACGATTTACATTTACAAGGTCGGCAGTAATTTCAACAAACCACGATCCATCACATGATGCAATCGTAGTGTACCTTCCTATATCCATTTACCAAAGCTTGAGTCTAAGTTCCAAGGGTGGAAATAATCATGTCCCAACAGAGGCATTAAAGGCGAATTATAGCGACACCCATATTTTTTGTGCAATGTTTCATACTGACAGAGTGTTTCCCACTAGTTGGTGCGATTCACTTGTTATTCGCCTATATTGCTTTGGCAGCCAACATACTATACTCAAATCCACCTTACATATTTCAAACTCTACAGCAACCCATAATTTAGTTCCGCTATCGTAAAGCCAGTTCAAAAGTCTATTCAGCACTGCTGCCTGATAATATTGTTTAAAATCAGGTATTGCTAACCCCCCTGTGATTTTGCTCTAGATAAAGTGCTGTATGAAATTCTCGCCCTCTTCCTTCCCCAAATGTATCTAGATACCATTGTCAGCAATGTTCTAAAGCTCTTAGGCAAAGCAATAGGAACCATCTGATTTAAAAATATACACCTCGGCAGGACATTCATTTTTATTATATTAATTTTACCCATGAGTAATATAATGCAGTCCATTTTTGCAAATCCTTCCAAATTGTATTGAAGAGGGGAATATAGTTATAGCTGAACAGATCCCCTGGTAAGGAGTAAGCTTAATCCCCAAGTATTTCAATTTCTGAGCTTGCCACCTAAATAAAAAGCTTGAATGCAAAGATTCTACCTCTCCAAATGACAGATTAATATTTAGTATTCCGACTTGTCAAAATTAATCTTAAAATAAGATATCTCTCCATATTCCCGCCATTATATTTGGAATGGTTATTCTAGGTTGTTGGATATAAAATAATGTATCATCTGCATACTTATGTTCCTTATTTCCTATAACCACTCCAGGAATATCATCATTTGCTCTAATACTTGCTAAATCCCAGGCTACCCTAACAAACGCTTTCTCTGCATCTGCTGACAATAGTAGGGTGGGCTGATATTGTTGTTTTGCATATGTCATTACCGCCAAAGTCCACAATGAGTTATCTCTTGCTTCTCTTCCAGTAATAAATATGGTTTGTTCAGCAGAGATAAATTGTGGTACCAATGGTAATAGCCTCCTAGCCAAGACTTTGGCAAATAACTTAATATATATATTTAATAATGATATTGGTCGGTAAATCCCACAACTCGTGGGGTCTTTATCCGGTTTAGGAATTACTGTTATATGCGCTAGAGTGGTTTCAGGTCTAAGCAGGTCCTACCATCAGTGAATTCACATATTTAGCTAACACGGGAGTAACTCATCTTTAAAAGTCCTATAATAAGTCAGTTTAAAGCCATCTGGACCTGGCGCTTTTCCTTTTGCCATTTCAGAAAAGGTACTCTCCAATTCCCCTACCTCTACCTCCTTTTCCAGGGCCCTTAACAATTCAGCTGGGAGTAAGGGTCACTTAACCCTCTCCAAATAACCCATTATCGCCTCCCGTCTACGGTCTGTTTTTTGCGTAAATTTTTGTGAAACATTATACAGAGTTGAAAAACAATTATTTAAATTCTCTAGCGATGTCCCTGGAGGTGAATACCATAGAATCTACTTATGTTTTAATTTTAGGGATACAAGATTGAGTCTTCCTATGTCTCAGTGATCTAGATAAAGCTTTTCCTGGCTTATTACCCCATTCATATTGTGTACATGCTATCCATTGAAACCTTTGAGCTGTTCTAGTGTTTAATAATTTTCTTAATTCTTCCCTCTTACCCACTTATTGTTGTAGATGATTAAGAAAGAAAAAAAAAATGTATGTAACCCCTCAAATTCTCTAATTTGTGTTAACAAGTCCAGGGGTGTGGAATTCCTATCGCAGCAGGAACCCCGGACTAAGGATTAGAAATAAGACTTTTTTTTCTTTTAACCGCTTGCTGACCAGGTGTTTAGACCCCCTTCCTGGCCAGGCCATTTTTCTGTATTCAGCACTGTGGTACTTTGACTGACGTTTATTCCGTCATGCAACGCTGTACTGAAATTAATTTTATACCATTTTTTGGGGACAGATAGAGCTTTCTTTTGGTGGTATTTAATCACCACTGGGGGTTTTATTTTTTACTATATTTCGTTTTTTTTACATTATGTTAGGAAACAATTATTATTACCCAATTATTTTGATAAAATATAAAAGACAGGGTCACGTCGGGTAAAAAGACACCAAACATGTCATGCTTAAAAATTGTGCGCACCCGCAAAAAAACTACCATACTAAAAATTGACCATAGGCGACGCTTTAAAAGCTTTTACAGCTCATCAGTTTAGTGTTATCAGTGATGGCTCTAGAATTATTGCTCTCACTGCGACGTTCGCGGCGATATGTAACATGTGCGGCGTAATGGGCGCAATCGTAGTTTTCGCACGCGTGCGCACCTGACGCATGTGTGTATGTATGGGTGTGGACTTTTCCGGAGCCCGCAACTTCCCACAAGGTCACCGCTGCCGCCCTCTGCCACCCCAAGGCCGGGCCTCGGTGGCCTTGTGGGAAATCCGGGCCTGGTGACAGGTCCTCTTTATGGAGACATCAGGGGTCTCCAAGACCCCTAATGTCACCTAGGACCCCCCTGAAGAAGCAGAGATCTGCTTCATCAGCTTTTTCCAGCCTCTGAGGCTGGAGAGTGACACGAGAATGGGGAAGTCATGTAATATACAACACTTCCGCATTCTGACACCGGAGAGGGGACCAGAGAGAGATTGTGTACCGACCTCCCTCTGATCCCGTCAGAGAAGCATTTTGCTGGTCCTGGGCTCGCACCGGGCACAGCGGAGCCCGGGACCAGCGTGACAACGGGAGGGGGGGCCGCGGAGGGAGGGGGGATACGGGCCGGCAGCTTATACAAGCGATCCACCGGATCGCTTGTATGTTAACGGGCATCGCTGCCTGTTTTTTAAATTGACAGAGTTTCCAGCGCGCCCGAGTGGGCGGGGCCAACAGGCCGTATATACACGGCCCGTTACATCCAGGAAGCTCCCGGCCGGCCGTTTCTGTACAACGGCCGGCAAGCGGTTAAGTCAAATAAGACAGCATGTCCCCCAAAGAGCTGGAAAAAAATAAATACATTAATGTTTGAGGTTAACAGTAAAGCACAGTGGAGGTTCCTTGCAAATCTGGGGCTGCACTTCTAGAAATGCAGTTGGTGGTTTTTGGTCAAAATTGGTGGCACCCTCACTGAGGAGACATGAAGGCAGATCCTCATTATTTGATATCTTCAGGTATTTCTTAAAGCGCTGCTGCTTAAAATCCCTCCCCCTCCGACCCTTTATCTTGTATATCTCTTCTATAAAGGTATTGCAGCTTTAAGGATTAGATACAAAAAAATAAAATAAAGTACAGTAAAAGTGTGTTATGA